ATACATCCTAATCCTAACAGAATCTTTGTTGATTACATTAAAGTTGGTCATAATGAATATCAGGGAGAAATTGATAGTATAGTGTCACTCAACAACCAGATGGAAGAGGAAGAATGCTTGATATATCAGGTGATTTATATGAAGGAGTCTGGAAAGATAATAAACTTAATGAATATGGAAGATATATTTTTGGTAGTGGAAAGTATTTTATTGGTGAGTACAAAGATGGATAGTAATCTGGATATGGTAAATATTATTAGGATGATGGATGTTCATATGAAGGATAATTAACAAATGATTCTTATGAAGGATTAGGATTGTTTAAATGGTACGATGGAGATTAATATTATGGATAATGGGTAAATAATGAGAGATAAGGTTTAGGAGTATACACTTACAATAATGGAGATATTGATTTTGGATAATGGTTTCTTAGTGATAAACATGGAATTGTAATTAATATACCAAAAGATGGAGGTAAAATTAAAATTAATAAATACGAAAATGGAAATTTAATAGAGACATTATTGTAGACTGATAATATATAAATCGGTTGATCATATGATTCTAAAGTTACACTAAATATAATATATAATATTTTCAAAATTACAAATGATAAAAATTCAATCAGAGCTTAAATAAGAAACTGAATAAGATCATAATCTTGAAGAAGATGTTTTGGGAATGACATCATTTGATGGAGGATTAGAGAATACCAATCATTAAATGTCATTGCAAATGTCTTATTGAAGTGCTAAGCATAAAACTCAGAGAGAAATCAGTAACTTCCAATCAATTGAGCCTGAAGTACAAAATCCTTAGAAATCTATATTATCCTTATCTTGCAATTAAACTCACTTGCTACAAAAGTATGATTCAGAAATTTGGGGGGATTAGATAAATGATAGAAATTAAAAAAAATAAAGGTAAAGATAAATTTCAATGCTTACTATAAAGTCTCGATTGATAGATTAACTTCATAAAATTGCCTAGGATCCATTTAACATTGAGGATAATATAACATTGGACTGCTTTGTTTGCTTCAACTATAGATTATTTTTGAAAGTGCTTGTTTATCATATTGCATTCTTTTACCTCATTGGGCCTTTTATGATCCTCATATTTTTTCTTATTGAAGGTAAAACTTTTACCTATAATATGGGATTCTATGGCTATACTAAAACTCATTTTAATTAAGCTATTCATGCAATATGCTTTTTAACAAGCGTTTTATTATTCTACTTCTAAGGGGAAAAATGCAGACTGAATCCAATTGAGGTGTTCATGTCAAGCATTAGCACTTTAATTTTCTGTTTAATAATAGCTCTGAGGTATGGATCCTCACCTGAAATCAGAATAATATAGCAATACCAAAGAAGATTTACAGAAGAAGATGACCAAATGGAATTTATGGTTAAATCTTGGAAAAAATTAAATATGAAAACTATTGATACTCATATTAAGTGCTCAATGGTTAGAAATGATATCGAGAATCTCACATTTCAAGTAATGTTTCTTAGTAAGATTTCTGATGATTTTCATAAAAGACTGTCCAACTACAGATATTACGAAGAGAATCCCAATGAATTAAAAACAGTGAGAGATTCTTACAAGAAATTAATGAAAAGCTTCGAAATTAAAAGATAAAATGTACTAATCAATTAAAGCAAATTGGAGATGAAAGTAAATCTAGATTAGATTAATAACAACTTGCATTATTATTCAACAAAAAAGTCAATCGGAGAGGATGAAAACTAACAAATCGATATTATACTTGCTAATTAAGATGAATTGAGTAGAAAATATCCAGCAAGACTCTTTTTAAAAGAGTTACTGCTTTCAACTGAAATTCTCTAAAAATAAAGACCTTCTATAGTTTTTAAAGTTTTTTCCATTGTACATTCTTTGCTGCCTTTCATTCTGACATTTAACTCAGACTTCAATTCTAGGGAATCAGATAAAAATTGGTATAGAAGATATCAATAGTGGTAATTTTGGGTATTTTTTATTACCAATTTCTACATAAATTCGTTTATTTATTATCACTAATCAATGTTTTTGGAGATTAGTCTCATTGATTTTAGAAGAAGATACTACTTGATGAATTAGATATAAAATCTTATAGAGCCTAATAGAATGAGGCTGAAGAGTTATGAAAAAATTTATCCTTTGATTAATATTTTTGATAAGCAATCATTGATGAGTTGGCTAGATATAAGAATTCTAGCACTTGATATTGGATATTGATTTTACTTAAGAATTTAATTGTATCTAGCAGCATATATTTTCATTTATTTCGTTTTGATGATCATGCTTTTGACTTATATATTTGGAGGGGTTGAAATTTTCTTTAGATAATAAGAATGGCTACCTCTTATTTTTGAGATTTCTCTATTCATCTACTTGATTTTCGGTATATTACTTTTTGGAGCAAAAACAAATGAAAAAACCCAGGATTAGATATTTAGGGTTTCAGAATTGAAGAATGTTTTAGAAAGATTCCTTTAGGACTGGGACATAATTATGGAGTCTTATAATACAGGAAATCAACTTTTGAATAATACTTACAAGTTTGGGCACTTTTACTATAGCCGGATGCTTAATTATAAGACTAAAATTGAGTGCTAAAAAGATTTGAAAGAAACTATCAAAGCTATTAAGACTGTCTAGGAACGATTAGAGAAAGAATTTTAGTATAGCCCGATCAAGATTCTTGGAATTCCACTAACAAACACGATATTGTACACTTTACAGACTGGTTTAGTCTCTTTACTATACGCAATATTATAAAAGAAAACTAGCTTTTTTTCTTGATTATTAAATTAGAAAACTTATCAAATATAAAATATCCTCATTTTTCAATAATTATTGGTTTTATGGGGTTTTGGGGTTTTGGGGATTTATCCTTGACATCCTTATAATGAT